TACGCCGTTATCATCATTAATTTGCAAGGGCTCTCATCACTTGCAAGCGGCGAATAAATCAACACGGAGATTCCAAAGGGCGACTACAAAACACTGTGAAATTTTGATCCACCCTTAATGGTTTGCAGTTATCAAATGCCGACAAAACTTTATGGTGGCCAGCGCTGCCACACGTCGCCAGCCGCGTCCCTCCCGCCGGGGCAAGAGGGAGCCCGGCCAAGGTCGTCGCTTAGGCTCGTTCTCCAATACCCGCAGCACTGGCACGTCGACTGTATGAGGCGGAGTTTTTTTGCGCCCTTTTGCGAGTGGACGGACCCAATTATAGTTCGATGTACAAGGGTGCAGATGAGTAAAAAATTAAAAAAGTTACAATGCATTCTTTTTCAGGTTTAGGAAGTTTCCATTTGTTTTTTTTTTGTTTTTGTTTTTGTTTTTGTTTTTCACCCCTCTTTGCATTTTCTTTTTTTTTCTCTCTCTCTCTCTTCCACATGCCCGTTTGGAAGGAGGGAGGGAGGGAGGGAAGGAGGATGGATGGAGAGAGGAAGGGAGGAAAGGAAGGAGGGAGGGAGGGAAGGAGGATGGATGGATGGATGGATGGATGGATGGATGGATGGAACATGGATGGATGGATGGATGGATAGATGGAAAGATGGATGGATGGGTGGATGGATGGATGGATGGATGGATGGATGGATGGATGGATGGATGGATGGATGGATGGATGGATGGATGGATGGATGGATGGATGGATGGATGGATGGATGGATGGATGGATGGATGGATGGATGGATGGATGGATGGATGGATGGATGGATGGATGGATGGATGGATGGATGGATGGATGGATGGATGGATGGATGGATGGATGGATGGATGGATGGATGGATGGATGGATGGATGGATGGATGGATGGATGGATGGATGGATGGATGGATGGATGGATGGATGGATGGATGGATGGATGGATGGATGGATGGATGGATGGATGGATGGATGGATGGATGGATGGATGGATGGATGGATGGATGGATGGATGGATGGATGGATGGATGGATGGATGGATGGATGGATGGATGGATGGATGGATGGATGGATGGATGGATGGATGGATGGATGGATGGATGGATGGATGGATGGATGGATGGATGGATGGATGGATGGATGGATGGATGGATGGATGGATGGATGGATGGATGGATGGATGGATGGATGGATGGATGGATGGATGGATGGATGGATGGATGGATGGATGGATGGATGGATGGATGGATGGATGGATGGATGGATGGATGGATGGATGGATGGATGGATGGATGGATGGATGGATGGATGGATGGATGGATGGATGGATGGATGGATGGATGGATGGATGGATGGATGGATGGATGGATGGATGGATGGATGGATGGATGGATGGATGGATGGATGGATGGATGGATGGATGGATGGATGGATGGATGGATGGATGGATGGATGGATGGATGGATGGATGGATGGATGGATGGATGGATGGATGGATGGATGGATGGATGGATGGATGGATGGATGGATGGATGGATGGATGGATGGATGGATGGATGGATGGATGGATGGATGGATGGATGGATGGATGGATGGATGGATGGATGGATGGATGGATGGATGGATGGATGGATGGATGGATGGATGGATGGATGGATGGATGGATGGATGGATGGATGGATGGATGGATGGATGGATGGATGGATGGATGGATGGATGGATGGATGGATGGATGGATGGATGGATGGATGGATGGATGGATGGATGGATGGATGGATGGATGGATGGATGGAGAGAGGAAGGGAGGAAAGGAAGGAGGGAGGGAGGGAGGGAGGGAGGGGGGGATGGATGGAGAGAGGAAGGGAGGAAAGGAAGGAGGGAGGGAGGGAAGGAGGATGGATGGATGGATGGATGGATGGAAGGAAGGGGAGAAGGAAAAAAAGACAACTAAATATAAGATAGATGAACAAATACAAATATAAATAGACAGAGAGAGATACAAAGAGAAAAATAAAATAAAAAATAAGAGAGAAAAACATAAATGAGAAAGAAAGACTGAGAAAGAAAAAGGGAAAGAGAAGACGAAAGCAAAAGAGACAGACCGCCCCCCCCCCCAAGAGAGCGGGGGAGCACGACCATCCGCGTGTTGACATGACAGTGTGCTATGATGCTAGGATCTCCAGCCCGGGATGTTGAAGGACCTCTCCGGTGACCGAGGCGCAGACAGGCGTCCTCGGCCCGGCTCGGTACGCAGCGAGTGTCGTGCCGCCGGACCATTTTATGCCGCTAAATGACACGGTTTACAGTCATGTTGCCAAGCCTGCAGTTTTTTTTTTTCTCTCTTTTTTCTTTTCTTTTTTTCACTCTCTCTATCTTTTATCCCCTTTTGTTTCACTCACTTCTTTAGCTTTTCCCTTCCTCTCTCTCTCTCTTACTCTCTTTTAGGCTTTTGGTGTCCCCTCCTCCCCCTCCTTCTCCC